CTGAATATTAAAATGTGGTGTATCAGAATATCATGAACCATGAGTGGAACATTGGCGTTTCAGTTTCTATCTGTGCATTTCAAATGCTCAAAACCAAAATAGGTACATGGCAACATACAACTTAACGCAACGGAGGCATTAATGTTAGTATTTATAAATGTAAGTTTTTTTGGTATCTGTTAAAACACAAGTAACACCGCGTTGAGCTGCATGTTTTATTTATCAACGTGATCACATGGTTTGAGGTAGCTGTTATTGTGATGTGAGTAATATCTGACTCAACTTACAGGTAATTTTGTGAATAAGTAATCCAATACAATACTTGTTTTGAAGTATGAACCAGTTCTTACAATTTCCTTTGTTAAAGCAACTGCCATGGTTTTAACAGCTGTTAAAAAGTATGTTGGTATGTCAAACTGCTTAGTAATGTTCCATTTATGATAGATGGTCACACACTTGAATAATTTAGGATGATAATTTTAACAGTTTATGCTTTTAAACTTAATTGAAGTTTAAAAGCATAAAACACAATGATATTCTGGAAGTCCATCTAATATTATTTAAATAATAATGAAGCACACACAGTCATGATCCCGAAAAAAAAAAACTGTTGCCTATTCTAACTATAGATCATAGATTTTTTTAGTATATCATTATTTTTCGGGCTGTTCGGCCGACGTAGGCGAGAAGAGGTTCTCGACGTTTCGCCATTACGTGCCGACCGTATCATCGGGAGATGTTAGCTCCATCCCACGTGATGGCGAAACGTCGAGAACATCTTCCCGCTCACGTCAGCCAAACAGCCCGAAAAACAATGATATGTTCTCCATTCCATTTTAATTATAATTAATTACTCTACTTGTCTTGACCGTCTGTCTGCAGTATGTATGATAACAATTGCTAGACGCAGGCAGTACTTTGGCACTTGGCCAAAACTTGCAAACTTAGTAATGGTCGTTCAATAGGCATCGTAATTAGTACTTTATTCACACAACCCTAATTAGCATATACATAGGTTTACTAGAAAATACATAGAAAATTTACATACTAAATTTTTACTTATAATGTGTTCAGTACTCTCTTTATTTTACGCGACTAGTAACTACACATTTAAATGAAACACTTTGAACGGCTTGAAACGTGATTTTCTTTGTTAACTTATTTAGAATGTAAGTATTTTAACTACGAAGTTACGGAGTCCAATATGTTTTAGAAACAAAATTTGGAGATGTGTTTTAAACGGTTCAAAGTTTTTCCTTATTAATACTTAATGTATCAATAATTAGCGTGACTTCCGAGTACACATAAAACGGTTTAAAACTCTAAATGTACCAGTTAGCTACTAGTTCATCTTGGCTGCTGTTTAAACGACGTGTCCCAGTGCAATCAAACGAAAGCCATTTGTTGAGAACACTAAACTCAAACTTATAATAAATTTTTCATTATTAATTATTTTTAACTCTTCTATTAAATACTGTCTTTCTATTAAACATTACTAAATGTTATCTCAAAATTGATCACAAAGGATGAAATAAAAAAAATTGTAGCTATTACAATTTTGGACTCGTTTGTCTTCAGAGATAGGCCTCCTCCATAGTCGTGCCGTAGTTAACAGTAACTTAAATAATAACATGTGTTACGAACCGTTAAAAACATTTTTGTTAATGTAATTGTAGCTATTCATTAAAATTTGTTAAAAACTTGGGGCTCTTCCAAAATTACAATTCTATAAAATTTTATCTAATTTTATCTAAACTGTGAATCCAATGAATACTTACTTACTTAATTAATAAAAAACAAAGTATCTTTTTAATATAGAAATATTATGTAAATGTAAGTGCACATGTACCCTTGTATATATGTAATAATAATTTTAAATGCAATAACAGACCAATAGCAGACCATAAGCAACGACAGACCGTATCTCAGGTTTTCTGTTTCCTTATTTTTTTTTTAGTCCGGCTCAATTGTTTTACATAAAATGTAATCAATTAAACGAATTTAGTACGTCTTCCTTTCTGGAATTTGCATTCCTCATAAAATTAAACTGTTGGAAATTTTAGTCTTAAGCAGGAATATTTTAATAATTTCACAGGTAGAAGCTACAAGATACCCGTTGCGTTCGCATAAACTATAAAAACTAAGTGAAGAATTTCCTGAATGATACTCTGTGCTTGTTTAAGGTGAGGCTAAGTAATGCAACTTTATATCGCTTTAAGATAAAGGCAGTTATAACAAACAAAACCACATCTCGACTACCTAACTAGAAAAGATGAACAGAACAAACGCAGTTTAAATCTTGGTTTTTATATTGGTTTGAATGTTGGAATGTTGGTTTAAATGTTGGTTTCTATATTTGAACGCGCTAATTTCAGGAACTACTGGTTCGAAATGGAAAAATATTGTGTTATTATTTTGTGTTAGTGAGACCATCTGTTGACGAAGGCTATAGGCTACCATCCCGCTGTGACTAATAGAAGCAAAGTACCATCAGGAAATAAAGAAAAAGCAAGCTTGTAAGAACGACGGGACGCGAGTGAACTATTTATTCTACGCGCTAAGTCGCTGAGACAGCTAGTATTTACATTTCAATTTTTTTTTCAGTTTTTTTTTCTTCACTTTATAATATTAGTATACATTTCTATTTTGTATCGTAACTGCGTAACAATAATCTTTTAGAGGTTTTCAGTATGATGGTAAAAGTAATATTTTTGCTGATTAATTAGCGGTCGATGAATAATGAAACACAATACATTGCGTGTAATTATACAAAAACTGTGGCGAGAAATAAATCCGCAACAAAATTTTCAGGCGTACGAGAATGTATATAAAATTCTGCTATAATTAATACAGAAGGCGTGTTTTTTTTGGGGTTATTAATGAGGCAAGATTTTATGAAAGAAAAATCTGACGAGATTTTTACTGACAAACGGATGAAGTAAAAAATAAGTCTATTTTAGAAGAATGTAACGACAATGAATTATAGCTATCAGGCTATTATTAATGTTAATTTTGTCAATAAGGTATTAAAAAGCAAAATATATTTATTTATTTATTTAAGAAAACAGGAACCAAACAGAAATATCACAGTAACATACTAACTAACTAAGGAATTGAAAACAAAAAAATAGAATATAGATATTCCCTTAAATAGTTTCACATATAAAATCGAGGATTAAAATGACTAGAACATTAAAAAGAATTATTGCATTGCATGTTTATGCATAAAAAACAATTTAAAATGTAGTCTACGTGTGATGAATACAATAAAAAATTAATGGTGCCTAATCTCCTTAAATACATAAAAAATATATTTGCAGCACTTACTAAGAGATATACCTCAACTCGGTGCTGGATACAAATTTATTACTTAACTATTGTCTGAATTTTTCGCGTAGTATACATTCAAATAAAACACTTGAAAGGTTTAAAACGTGATATATATTAGTTAAATTTATTTTGACCATGGCCCTTTGAAGCAGCCGTGATCTCTGGGAAACATAGTAGGTAAAATAATTACCAAATAAGTTTAAGTAATATATATCGCGTTTTAAACCGTTTAAGTGTTGTATTTAAATTATTACCCATTTATTTTATTATTACAATCTAAATCTAATTATAACTAAAATAAAGGTTGTCATCCTTATAAGCCAGCCTTTAAGAAAACTTACAACCGAATTCGCATACGAAATGTCACTATTTCCCTTAGATCTACTTTTTATGCTAATAAGTTTGTGCGTATCAAAGAAATCTAATTCAAGATTCATCTGACGAGTGGAGTTAGCATAAACAAGTAAAGATCGGGCCAGGTAATCTGTTTCTGTCTATCCCTATTACGATCTTTCCTTTTACCCATAATTACCTACGTAGTATGAAAAATTAGAATCCGGATATTGCTTGGGAAAATTTTCACTTATTTATTGTAGTTATTTGCTTTGATGCTCGAGTGGTTCGTGTATTCAACTGCCAATGAAGAGGTTCATGGTAGAATTCTGGATAGAGCGAAATGTAATTTCGCCATATGAATTATTACTAAAAGAACTTACTAGTACTAGCCAAGATTTAAAATGTAATCGGAGTCAATTCTTCCACGCTTCAGCATGTTCAGCTCTTGGTCAGAGTTACAACCATAAAATTAGCGATGGTAGTCGTTAAAGTCTGCCAACCTGGACAAAAATAATAATAATTTAACATATATAGTCCGTTTATATCTTACGTTTGTGTTATAAAAAATTCAATACAGGAAGGGTAAAAATGTTTGCACTCTATTCACACAACACAAAAGCCACCGGTCCGTTAACAATAAAATTTTTCGCTGTGGGCGTCAAAATAAATATGACAGTATATTCCTATACCTTTATTCCCTAGGCCATAGACTTTGTATCGAATTTTAGAGTATAGTATGTATTTGACAGTGTGGGTGACAACAATTTTTAAAAACTGGTCAATCGTATTGTCGATAGCTACGTATCTAACCATTACGATCAGGATTATACGGGTTAAACTCTTAAAAATGAAGTAATGTTACACCCCAGTCCTGAAGGATAAAATTAATTACGCCATAAAGGAATCCAGAGCTGAAATGATACGGAAATAGAACGCAGATTCAATTTATTTGGATATTGAAGATTCAACTCAAGGACTCGCTCTGAATATATAATTTGACGTTCCATTACGCTATTCGCGTTGTTCAAATGCTATCCATACTAATTACTTAAGTTTCACGGGAAACTATATTGTTATTTCATCTATTCAAGTTAATATTTGAACAATAATAACACGTTAAGAAATAAAACATTTAATACTAGTTAAATACCTTGCTGGGATTAAAGCATCGTAATGAGTATTCCTTTTACAAAAGGTGTTGGAAAATCAGATTTAACATTGAAATTAGTAGAAACGTTATTTGATATTTCCGCGTATCTCACATTCTGTCAGTATGTCATATTATAAGGGGGCGTTTCTGAACCGCATTGCCATACGCCAATCTATCTCCAACCATGATCTCGATCGTCTGTCTATTACTGATCGCTTATTGCGGCGCTGCGGAGCAGGATTTATCCTCTGAAGCTAAGCTGCAACGCGATTTTGACTCCTGGTGCCCTGATAGTCGTCACTTGCCACCTGGAAACGGCACAGAGATCCACATAAAATTTATACTGAAGTTATTTTACTTCGACGCTGGCGAAGAGGTGTTCAGTATCTATTGTTGGATTCACTTTAGCTGGACCGACGCACGGTTCACATGGCGGCCGGAAGACTATGGCGGTATAGATAGCGTCGTCTTCAACTCTTTAAACCTATGGACTCCCATGGAACAACTCCAGAACGTGAATAGTGATGAAATGAACACCTTTTGGCTTTCAAGTTGTGAGTTGAAGCATGACGGTAGCGTGTTTTGCATTCCAAAGACTATACTCGATACAACTTGCATTACGAAGTTGACTGACTGGCCCTATGATACACAGAAGTGCCGTTTTGACTTCAAATCCAAGGATCACACGAAAAAATTTAAATTTACGCTTGGAGAGAGACGTGCGATGAGCATGATTGGTGCGGAATATGGAGGGACATGGAATATCATCGATTACGAGCAAGGCGAGGACCAAAATGCGACTAATCAGCTGTTTTTCGAGTTGACGCTTGAACGACAGGCTTTTGGTTTAGGATTTATATTGGCAACGCCAGCTATTGCCTTGACTCTACTGACGATGACCGTTCCGCTCTTGGATGTATGTGGTACAATTAGACTGGGTATAGCCTGTTTCAGCTTACTCTCGCATTTTACCTTCTTACAGTTGATAAACTACAGTATACCTCAGCATAACGAAGCGACGCCGACCATTCTTATATACCTTCGTAGCTCTCTCGTGATTACAAGTGTTACGATAATAATATCCGTGTTCCTCAATAAAGCTTCAGAAATAGATAGGGTCCCACCACCTTGGGTGAGTATTTTAAATGTGTGGGTATCAAATACGCCTTTAAAATTTATTCTTCAGACGCCACAAATGGGCACAGTTTCTCAAAACATTTCGAAAATTAACAACAGTGAATGGATGGATTTCGTAAGCATTATCAATGCTGTGTATTTGTTTCTTGTTTTTATTTTGTATACAAGTTTTTATTTTATGTATATTCCGCGACCGCCTCCTTTAATATAAATGGATGAAAAACATTATAAAGTTTTTAAATATAAAATATCGTTTTGAATAATTAATTTTATTGTCTTCATATGCATCGTATTTTGCTTTATGTAATAATATTATCTTTCATGTCTTGTCATCTCTCTCGTTCACTCAATCGTACTAGATTTTGTTAGTATAGTTAGATGTTAAATATTTTCTTAATTGCGACGTTCTTATTCTTCTAATGACTGCTTTCTTTAAACAGATTTGTCTAAGAATGATCAAACTAAAATGCTTTTATTATATATTATGTTATAACGATGATCAGTGAGTTTATGTTATATAATATAACAAAACTTTGTTCAATTTAAATACTAAATACTGTCCTTAGTTCACGCGAGTAGTAGTCATTTAAATAAAACATGTTAACGGTTTAAAACGCGATTTATTTTAATTAAACTTATTTGACAATTATTTTAACTACGGCCTGGCGTTTCGGATGCTTTGCAGCAGCCATGGTCACGGGGAGACAAAGTAAAAAAAAATATGTATCCCGTTTTAAATTGTTATAATTATATATAAATTGTGAAGCAAGTATAGTAAGGGGGCATGGAAACTAAAACATCCGTATTATTGATTTATTAATCTGCCTGTCGCTAGGTGCTATGCACTGGGTCGTGCTAACGAACAGTGTCATCTAATCTGGCTTATTGAAAGCCCTTTTGAAAGCTAGAATGATGAGATAAGAAGCCATCTATATGCAGTCGCCGTGCAAATTAAAATGAATCTTTACAATTTTTTTAGTTATTTTTGTGGATCGCATCAGGTAATATCGAGCAGTATTTCAGAAAGATTAAAAAATTACCATCAGCGACAGTTGAACCTACGATTAACAGCGTACCGACTCCCACCCAAATAGCATTGATATAAGATGTGTGGTCGTCGGTTAAACTATTTTGCCTTTATTTTTTTTGTGAAAACGCGATGTAATCACGGCTATTCCTCCATTCATCCAGGTTTTCCAGACGTAGTTCTCTCTTCTATCATTGAGAATAATTATAAATTAATTAAAAACATGTTGATGGGGATCTAACTTAAGTCTCATTAATTACTACGCATACATTTACACTAAATTTAACAAAATTTCATAATCTCTTATAAGACATGCACTATAAAAAACTGATAACTACAAACTTAATATCCCATTTCCTTATAATTAAAGTTTAGTCTAGGTTTGTTTGAAAGCAAGAAAACCTCAGGGATTAGAGAATGGAGAAGGCTTTTAATACTATCCTCCTACAAGGAAGGAATTCTACCAAGTTAATGAAGATATTAGGCGCGCAATACACGAAAGTGTTATGCATTATTTTCACAAATAATTTCTTTATTGAGGAAAATTTATATCTTTTTGTGATCGTTAATAGGTAACACGGTTTTTAATGATAGAGGGGAGACAACCATGGGATCCACTTGATGGGAGATGATATACCCTATGCCATATAACAACTATACAACTAACTGCGATTTTAACCTATTTTGGCTTGATTTTAGTTTGAATATATTAAATACTGTCTGTAGTTTACGCGAGTAGTTCACATTTAAATAAAACACTTCAACGGTTTAAAACGCGATATATTAGTTAGGGGAGACCCGTGACCACGGCTGCTGCAAAGCATCCGAATCGTCGGGCCGAAGTTAAAAATAATTTTCAGATAAGTTTAACTAATATATTTGACTAAGAAATTGCGACTATTAGAATAACGAGACCGTTAAAATTGTACATTTTTAGCCCATGCATTATAGAAAATCCTAATAACTTTTAAATAAAACACTTTAACGGTTTAAACGAACGCGATATATTAGTAAAACTTGTTTTAAAATGATTTTTAACTACGTCTCCCCGTGTCCACGGCTGCTGCAAAGCATCCGAATCGTCGGGCCGAAGTTAAAAATCATTTTCAGATAAGTTTAACTAATATATCGCGTTTTAAACCGTTAAAGTGTTTTATTTAAATTTGAATATATTTTTATTATTAAGTAAATGTATGCGTTATAACATTAAAGGAAAAAAATCTTACTGTTTCATCGAATGGAACATGTTTATGTTTTTTTTTTACGTTTATGTTTTTAAATAGTTTTATTTAAAAAGATAAACGTCAAGATTTTTTTTAGGCTAAGTTAAAAAACAATTTTTGTTATTCAAATATTGCGTTTACGATCTTATAATTTAAACGCTGGCTTCTAAACGGCCTAACTATTACATGCAGAAGATTCTATTAAGAATATTCTGCGACTGTCTTTGTTTAAACTCCAATTTAATTTAGCATAGGTTACTTGTTTTTTTAGTAATTTTAACTTATTATTGGTAAGTATGAAAATGAGTGATAATGAATAACTTATTAAATTAAATATATATTATATTTAATTTGATAATATACCTATATAATTTTGTTAATTGTATGACACTGGCGGGACTTGAGCTACAAACCGTGCTGCTGATCTAACCAATCTACCATGTCTTATGTGTCAAGGTCGAATTACTTCAACCCATTGATATATGTACCTCTCGCGCAATATAATTATTCTAAATAGAATATGTGAAATAACATGTGAAATTTAATACAGTTCAAACTTAAGTATTACTAAGAGATTAAAGAAAATAAAATATGTGGGACGGCCAATACATTAAACACTATTTACTATAACGTATTGACTGTAGTTTACGCTAGTAGTACATCTTAAATAAAACATTTCTAACGGTTTAAAATGCGTAATACATATATTAGTTAACTTATTTTTATTACGGCCCGAATTTTACGATGGTTTAAAACAGCCATGGTCACAGGGTAGACTAAATGTAGAAGGTATCCCTAAGCCTTTCAAAGCCAAATTCGCTTCGCTAGCGCCATCTGTTTTGTCAAAGATGATATTTCGTGAAACTTCATTACTGTTTTGTTACATACAACAAAACCCTTGCAAGGGTGCACCATTAATATACAACCCCGTTTAAGCCTAATTAATGTATCGGCGACGGATCTTAAATCCAAGACCTTAACGAATCCTTAATCAATTAATTAAAATAACCATCGTAATTTTGACGTTAAATTAAATTCAACGGATTATAATCGTTCATTCATCAGTGTTTGTTCACGTAAATGTTGGTATGATTATTAAATTCAAATTTACCTTACAGAATAAAATACAAAAATTTGTGAAAACACTTAGATGTGAATTTAAATTTTAATTAACTGTTTTTGATAAAAATCGTGTTAATAGGGACGATAGAAACATTTCTTTTTCCAAAACGATTTTTCCCAAAATTTGATGTTGAAGAAGACGCAATTTTAAAAGATACATATATTTTATTTGAACTTGATTGAAAATTATTTTTAACAACGACCCGACGTTCCGGATGCTTTGCAGCAGCCGTGGTCACATTAACTAATATATATCGCGTTTTAAACCGTTAAAGTGTTTTATTTAAATGTGTACTACTCGCGTAAACTACAGACAGTATTTAAGATACATTTAATTACAACGCTTTTAATTGTCTAGAACGCGAAAGTTATTAGTTAACTTTTGGATTATATTAAATTATTTACTTTCTATTTATAATTTGCAAAGCATCCGATGTCGGCCGGTTTATAAAAAAAATCAGTAAAAATAATAATAATAATATAATAGTAATATATTTCTCTATTAAACTTAATACTTGGTAAAAACTTTGTCGTCTTAACGGAAATTTAAGCTTTACTGTGTAATATTGTTACGGCACGAAGTTCATGCAAGTGCATATTAAGTAGCATTAATTATAAAGTTGTCGGCCCAATTAATTTTGCAATGCCTTAAGTTTTAGCAAACTGGAAAGCCTCGAAATTAGAAACACATAATAATTTAAACAGTCGGAAGCAGAAAGACTAAACTAAACTAATCTGCTGCTAAACTATAGCCATATGCTATGCAGAAACAGATGGCTGGGAAATCATACATTTCGCATTTTGAACCCTTTTAAGGGCTTTATTTTATCTAACAATCCTAATAAGAAAGAGATTTTAAAATGTGAACTCGCTTCGGAAAATTTGTAAAACTGAAAGGCGTTAATTAAAATATTATAGTACATCTATACAAAAATGTATTTAAATAATAAATAATATCTTTAATCAATAACTCTATTATGGTCGAATCTAATAAAATGATGACACGGGCGGATTCAAACCCGCGACCACAGCGTTCGCACCACCACGACCTGACCGATTCGTTCCGACCACGATCAATTGAGCTACCGAATTTATTACTTTATTCATACATGTACCTCTCTCTTGCTAAATGTGATCAATCATCAATTTAGATGAAGATAATTCATGCATTATAATTAGGGGAAGTCAAGTACTGATGCTTTGAGGCTGGTCTGCAAATCAGTGTTTAATTAATAATAGTATTAATCAGGATATCTGATTAACACTAACCCTATGACGTGTAGAATGGATTCATAGACGCAATTAATCGGGCTATTGTATTAATTATGACTATCGGCTGAAACACTAATATAACACCAGGAGAACTCTGTAGATATTCTGTATAGAGAAGCATATAGGACTCGGTTCCTAAATTGGTTGGAGCAACAGCGCGGAACGCAAAAGCCGTGATTTTGAATCGCATTTCGGTTTCAGTCTGAGGATTTCCGAATATCCAAAGACAAAATAGATCGACAAGTCATTTTGTTGAGATGTAATTTTTAAAACTTTAATACTTTTCACATGTTATTGCAATGCAGGCACTATTTAATTTAAATATCGAAAGTAAATTGAAAAGTTTTTATTCGATTTTTCTCGACTCGTGCAGGACTTGAACCGGCATCAGCAACAGCCCGGAGCGCTGACGATGCCAGTTCAAGTCCTGCCCGAGTCGAAAATTTTTTCAATCTATTTTCGAGATGTAATTTGGCTGGGGAATTCCACCTACCATCAAGTACCATCAAAAAATAAAGATATAAAAAGAAAAGCGTAAGAGTCGGAGGCAGATGTATATGTTAAATTTAGTTTAACTATACACTCGTATATAAATAAAAATCGAGTATAAATTGAAAAGGTTTTTCCAACTCAAGCAGGGCGAAAAAAAAACAATTTTAATTGTATTTTATTTATATAGTGCCATCATGTTTCATATCATGTGAAAAATATTTCAGTTTTCTAATATTGTGCGTTTTCATCAATTTTTGTGATAGATGTGTTGTACTGTATGATTTGTCCAATTTGTCAAGCGGCCTCAGTTGCTCATCTGTACTCCATTAATCATAATATAAACTCGTGAGCACACATGCAACTATACAGAACCCGCAACGCGTGATTCCTTTAAGCCCGGAAGGAAGCATTCGCCTCAGCCTCTTTGAGACAGGAAAAGCGCCGGAGCTTTAATGGCTTCGCGGTCGCTTAAATATAGGCCTAGCCAATGTTTTGTGCTGCGAACCGAGAGATGGCGCTAGCTGTGATTACGAGATCGATAAGTTGTGTTTATCTATAATTTATACTAATATTATAGCTGAAAAGTCGGTTTGTTTACACGTGCTAATCTCAGGAATGTCTGTTTCGAATTGATTAGACCTTTTATCAACTCTATGTTTAAATAAAAACATCAGTTTGTTCTTGAAATGCCTCCATGTTCGTGCTAAGCTAGTTATCAACGAGCTACAGGAGGGGATAGACATATCACGTTATTTTTCAAAAAAGTCTATATTTTAAGATTAACTTGCAAGAACGACGGGACGCGTATGAAGTCGCGTATAATAGCTTTAATTAATATAGATGAGGAGGTTTGCAAAAAATCTAGTTGTAGCCTAAAATGACTATACCACTCGAACGAAGTCGCAGGCACAGCTAGTTATAGATAAAACCATCTATTTATTTGGGTTAAAGTTTATTTATTTTTCTATC